TGATGAGGTGTTCGAGTCAACAGCTCTGTACCAATCGCAGTTTCTGGCAACCATTGGAGAAAAATTTGCAGACAAGAATGTGCTCGTCGTGCTTGCGTTTCTCGGACTGGTAGTGGACAAAAACTATGCTGACATATATTTTAAAGGAAATAAGATGATTGTTTTTCCGCGACGAAGCACTAGAGACGTGAACATTCGCAGTTCACCAATCAAATCAAAACAGTTCCATGCATTCGGCCAATACATCAAAGAGTACTCAGAGATAAGAAAAGCAATGTTTAGCGAGGCTCAGTGCTATTTTATGTCTTCTGATCAAGAAATTCCGGGTGTTAGAAGCCTTAGGATCCATAAACATGTTTTCATCGATGAATTGGCAAAACTGCTGCGCATACTTTATGATGAGATTGAATCGCGTATCCTTGTTGATGGTAATCCTTACAATGTATTATTTCGAACTGAGCCTGCAGTGCCGAATGCTCCGTCCGAAGTAGACCAGCGAGCCCTTTCAATGATGCCATATAAGAAAATGGTGGATGTGTATAACAAATATTACGCAACATTCATCCATGAAATGTCGCCATCAGTGTTAACTCGTTGCCATCTTGTATTTCCTCGAGTTATTGGAATATATTTCTGCATCAACCTACAATCCAACCACATACATGCGCTGGGGATTACTTTACAGACGGTTTTCCCTGAGCACTTCTTCGAATATCCTTCAAATGGCGAAGATAGAAATGTTATCGTAACGAAAGTGTCTGTTACTCGACAATTGATCAGAAAGCTCAAGTTAATTGACATAAAAGATAATACTCGCGTACTCTTGCCTGTTTTGCTCTCTTACACGAGTGAAATTCACCTTACTATAGATGATCGTATGGCTAGCCTCGAAGAATTGATTATATTGAAGAAAATAATCAAAGGACACAATATAACCAGTTTTGTTGCGTCAATATTTGACATATACGGGTTTTCGTTTCACTACTTTGTGGAAGAGACCTCATTGGATAAAGAGAAAGTGTTGGTTTTAGATCTAAGTGAATGTTCCCTCGAGGAGCATGA